GAATATGATTTAACTATGTTTCCTTTTTCTATATTTTTTTCAATAAAACCCCAGAGTTCAGCAAACTGTAAAAAAACTTAGTGATTTACTTTAGTATGGCTACACATTAAAATTCGAGTGCAGTTTACAACTTAAGCTTTTTCACAACAGCAGTAAAATACAATACAATGTATTTTCTCAGTTTTAAATATTTTATACTTCTTCAAAAGTTACCCTTCATCCTGGCAATTCAAGCTGTCAGTTCAAGTCAGGGACAAACTTCATGAGTTTAATGACTTCTGAAGTACTACAAGTCCTCCTTCACCTTCTGTACTGATGACACAGCATTAATCCACCTTTACTGTTTAGTAATTTACTGTTACTGTTCACCTCAACCATCAGCACTGGCACATCCTGTACAGACTCCTGATTACACCGCTTGGTGTGCTGTGTTGTGAGGACACTGGAAACTGGAACACCAAAGAATTTTTAAAAAAACAAAGCACCCAGAAAATGTTACTTACTAGAATTACTGCCAGACTTTTCCTGCCTCATTAAAGAGATCACAGAAAATAAACAGAATCCAGCAAAAATTATATTTAAAAAGGCTCACACATTGTGTGTCAAGTAAAGTCAGTATGCTGTATTTGTCACAGAAAAGGCTCGTGGCTGAGTAATCTGCTAGTGATTAATTTACTAATAAGTCAATGTGCTTCTAATTTGAGAGACAGTAGTTCTGCTTGCTCATAAAAATGATTGTGAACCTGTTACAGAGAGCACAGCGTTGAGCAGCACAGCACCAGAACTCTTACCTTTGGGTGCTGCAGTCTTCTTTGGGATGCCGAATTCTGAATCTGAGTCAGAGTTTATGGTTTCCACCTTCTTGGCCTTGGGAGCTCTTTTAGGTTTAGGGGGCGCATCTAGTTTTGCTGTTAGAAGTTAGAGATATTAAATATGTTAAAGTCACATAAAGTTTTAAATAAATAGATTGGCTTACAGGACCTATACGTACCTTTTTTAGCAGCTACTGTTTTACTTGGAATTTTCTCTGCTTGTTTGGGGGCAAAAGATGATGAGAAAACAGGAGCAGAATCCTCTTCATCACTGTCCAATTTTGTTGTATCTGCAATCACAGAGCACGTTTAGAATAAGATTCTTTCACTGCGTATTTTAAAGCATCAATATTAATTACAGTCAAAATTCATCTCAAAAAAAGTGCTTCTGATACTACACCTAGGCTATGGATGTACTGTGACTTTTTTATCTATGATACAGGTTCTGTTCCTCTAAGGATCACAACCTCCTTCCCCTTCTTACTTCATAAATTTGGAAATTTTTCTATAATTACTGTGTGAAGTTTGTGTATACCAAATAAAGTCCCTAATAACATAATATAACATAATTCCATAACAGTTGCTATAAGATTACATGCATTTGTGAAAACAAGCTCACCATCATCTGTCTTCTGCGAGTAAGATGGAAAAGAGAAGATGTTCCCAAAATCTTGATTTTTCTTGTCTTGAGACGTTTTTCTACTTCCAAACAAGAAAAAGAACTTATGAGCTGCATTAACTACACACTGAAGTATGTAGACATTATAATATCTATAGGAGATTTAATTCCTGTTTTATCACTACAAAGCATTTAGAGCATTTTTATACAGAATTACTTTTTTTTTCCAATAGACTGACACAAGATGGAAAATAAACTGCATTTTGTAAGATTCTCTAACAGATATTACTGACAATGTACCATAATTTGGGAAGTCATGTTTATCTCTGCATAGGTCAGTTGCAAGGCTGAGGTAACATACACATTCCCAGAAATGTACAAATTTTATTTACATGGTACAGGTAAAGTAATAACAGGTTGAAGTTTCTCAGTTTTGTTCAGAGTCTTCTGCATTCAAAATAACTGTTAGTAAAGAAATACTACTGAGTTACAGTGCTTACTCTGGAGATGGCTTTGATTTGGCTGGTGAGAAGTCATATTCATCTTTTTCCAAACTGTCTGAGGGAACAAACTCATCCTCTCTGTCATTTGTAACTGGAGAGGCTTTTACTTTGAGCTCATCCAAATCATTATTATTGTTGGTATCATCATCATCATCATCGGCATCATCATCTTCTTCTGAGAAGTCAAAAGTATACTTGGGCCTCTCAGCTAAAAGAATCACACATACACAAATTTCAAGATAGTTGTTTATGTTAATACATAAACAAATTAAAGTGGAAGTCACTAAACAATCCCTGCCTCAGAGTACACAAGACAAAAGACTGAGGGAAAAGAAACTTGTTTGAGCCTGGAAGAATAAAGCGATATAATTTGAAGAGCTACCAAACATCTAACACAGCTTGTGGCTTTCTCAGGCACCTTCAGCTAACAGCATTAGAGAGGCATCACTGCCTAAGTACTTTTAAAGAATGAGAATCCTTTGCTTACAACTGAAGTTTCCTTGCATCTATCATTTGAACATTCTTCCTAATCAAGTGCTTGAAAAATGGATCAATAACTTCCTGGAAAAATCTGTGTATTTTTCTTAAACTAGCAAATATTTATATATTTGCTAAACTTTCAGTTCATGAACTGTTTAGATTTTTTTTTAAATAAATTTTTACAAGCCATTTGGGCTTTTGGGTCTTACTTGACAGTATAATGGCATTATAGTAATTTTTTTGTTTGTTTGTTATGGTATTATTTTGTCAATTTCTTGCATAATTCACTACTTTGGTGAGTAATTTCTATTCTAGTATTTAGAATAAGGCAAAAGATTTCTGGACCAAGTTACAAAATCTTTCATATCAACTCTTAAGTTCCTGGTCTTGACATACTAACCACACAGTGAATAAAATGTAGTACAAGCTATCTGTAGGAGATAAAGTCCTACAGGAAGGCTATGGTCAAAGGATAATGGAGGTTTGTAGTTGAAACTTTAAGTGACAATGCGCAATTTGCAAAAGCTTGGGTACCTACCTGCAGCTCTCCTAAGCAGAGAGTCTCTTGGAATAATCACAGGCTCATTTTCTTCTAAATCACTTTCAGACTTGGATTCATCATCTGACCAAGGGTTTCGTTTCTTCACTTTTTTCGCACTGGATTTTGTAGATGATGATGGTGTTCTTCTTACCCTAGTACCTGCCACAAGTTAAAGCATTTACTACAGTCAGGGTAAAGAAATATTTTCATCTTTTCTAATCAGTTGTGGTACATAAATTTAGCATAAATTTTTATCTTAAAAAGTTCTTTTTTAAGTGTTGTAAATTTTCTTCTCCTTCCTGAAGATAAATTCAACATGATGAAACTATTTTACACATAATCTGACCTGCTGCTGCCAAACAAATTTGTTTTATGACTGAAAAACATAAAGGTCTCTAAGTGGAAGTTTTAGCTCCTTCGCAGTCAAACTTCCATTTTTTTAAAGGTTGCTGGCATTTTCCAGGAAAAGAACAAGCAGTTTTCCATTATTCAGGAAACATGATAAGGAACAGTTATTGCCCTACTGGGGGGTAACAATGCGGTCAGTCAATTGTGGGACAAGCTCAGGTCAAGCTGGGCTCATTTGCTCTGGCTCAACATCGGCTAGGCTAGATTTGAGCTGCATGTAGACAACTCAGTTATAACTGTACTCAGTAAATCTATTCAGGTTGGATAATCCCCTGAATAACTAAAACCAGATTTTATCTCAGAAGAAGTATTTGTGTAACCACTTTTTATTCCTTTTTTTTCCCCAAACCTCATACTGAAACCTCTTCTGTCTTTAGCTTTCTTTTTTGTTGCTGCCCTCCATTACTATGTATTTCTTAAACAGTAATAACAAATTCCTACTAACAAAGGAAAAAGGAAAGTTAACAAAGATGGTTTGTCTGCCGAGCCATAACACATGCAAATTTTTAGAAGTCAGAATGCCTGAATATGTCAATATGAAAATACATTTATTTAATCAAGCTTTACAATCTATACTATTAATAAGACTGAATGTGAGTGCCTTCAACATCAGAGAGCATGCAAACTAAAAATTTCAGTTTGCACAGAATCAGTCTAGTTATGTAAAAATAATCTATTTTTCTATTCACAAATTCAAAGATTTAGACCCCCCCACAAACTCAAATGTAGAAAATGTAAAATCCACCACTCACAGAAAAGCAGCTTATATACAGAAATTTCAGCAGAGTACTTTCAAGTGTTTCCACACATCTCTTTAGGGAAGAAAATCAGACGAAATAGTGATTTTTGTGGTATATTTAACACTGTTAAAAATATATTTAATGCCCAATTCATATACACAACTAAGGTTAACTACGACTGTGTAAGGATCTTACCAGGCTCCTTCTTCTCTCTCTTAGGTTTAGGGGGTTTAGTTGCTGTGGCTGATGTATTCAATGAGTCATCCCCTCCACCCTCAGCTGGCACACCACCAAATTCTTCATCAAATTCCATTTTTATTGCTAGAGAATCAGTTTCACCCTAAAAAGATAAAAAAGTTGGGCAAACCAAAATAAATTACACCTTTATATTTCAAGACTGGAATGGTTTTGTAGAAGATAATAAAGGAAAGTAGACTAGTATATTGACATTTGTTGAATAGGCTCTGAAAGAAATCTCAATAAAAACACCTGAATAAGTAGTCACAAGAGACCTGCAAATGTAAAAGAAATCCAGTATTAACTCCTACAAGCATTAGGTCAGCAAAACAGTATGAATACAGCATTAATGAGGTCTAGCAGTTTGGATTTATGCTACCTGAATAAAAAAAATACATCAGCTAAATAATAATCTAACTACAGAAACCGTTTTGATTTACCTTTTTCTTTTTCAGCAGTTTCCTACTGGCATCAGCTTTCATGGCAGATGTAATCTGTGGAACTATTCTTCTGCCAAATGGTGATGGCATGGTCTCTTCCAACTGAAGTTTCTTCATCTTGGGTTTACCAACTTTGCCTTTTATTGGTTTGCCAACCATGCCAGCCAAAACATCTTCTCTTTCCTGTGCTTCTACTTTCTAACAAACAAGGAGGGGTGGGGGAGCACATTATATTTTAACAAGGACAGAACAGAACATGCTGATCATTTAAGATTCATCACCTTTTTACATGGAGCATAAGACTTCCCTTAATTCTCACTTGAATTGTAACACACTTTCCAGTAATGGAAAACCAACTACTTAATCTTGATAAATTCTTCATTACTCTGTACACTTAAAAACTGCACTTTTATTCCAGATTAAATATAAATATGAACTTTTGGACACTGCTAGACTGAAAATCTTTCTTTTATCAAGTTTCTATTTCTCATGTACGTGTCTGGGTACTGATACAACTTTTCAGTATTTTAGCATTTAATTTAGGCAGCTAGTTTCTAGAGTAGTTTTTAAGGCACATTTCCAGTCCTTTCATCAGCTTTTTTCACAGTATAAACATATAGCTGAAATGCAGACATCTGAACAGAACACTTCCAATTGCAGCTGTATCACGAACACACAAAGAAATAAAACAAACATCTTATTTGTTTTATTCTGTGTCACTTCAAAAGATTGCATCAGCCATTTTCAGGCAACATTGAAAGCTGAGGCTCAGCAAGTTACCCACCAACAGAACTTTACCTTTTTCCAGAGTTACTGATGAGGCAAAGTTAGTATTTAAGATCTATACACTTCGTTCCTATGTGTACAGCTTTGCATTTGACAATACTTATTGCCGCACAGCTAACTAGATCATGTAGAACCACTACATTTATTAGTTACCTGTTACTACTCCCAGCTTTTTGTGTCATCTGAAACCAAATTTTCTCCTGGTATTTTTTCTTTTATCATCACTGACGTCGAAAAAAACTTAAATTGTATAGATGCAAGAGACAGTCCCTGAGGAATACAACTAAGAACACAAATACCCAATATTGATCTCCCACTTATCACTACATTTGGAGGTCTATCTGCTTTTCAACCAAAATGTGGTATTTTTTATTATTTTTTAACTTAAATTGTAATATTTTAAACTACTGCTTTTAATTAAATTAATTTAAATTTAACATTTTTAGAAAGAGATGTAAAATAAAACATACTTCAAGCTCTTCAACAAAGGCTGCTAAATCTTCTTTCCAGAGATCTGAAGAAGATTTCCTCTTAAGGTCATTTAGTTCTCGCTCCTAGAAGATAAAAGTAGTATATAGAATTTAAGTTACTAAGTTACAACTAAGGTTAATACTATCCAAACTGAACATTCACAATTAGATACACCAGTAATTACTGTATCATTTCAGAACAAGCCCTCCATGGTGTACCAACCTTTGAATCTCTATGCTTTATTAACTCTTCCACTTTCTCTTTTGTGAGCGACCACAGTGACATGTTTAAGATATAGTTAAAGTCAGGGCCAGAAGTTGAGCCAGAAGCAGAGGAAGCATCATCATTTGCATTCTGTGGGTCCTCCTCTTCTGCTGCCTAAGGTGAAATATTCACAATTACAAGTCTTAAAAATTTTAGCTTTATGCAGAACTGTAATGCTGCTCCAAAGCACCATCACAGTTTAGTAATGTGTGCCCTCATAGATTCAATAACCTGAACATTTTTCTGGACCTTTCCAAAAGGTCATATTTATGTGACCTTCTATAGTTGGATTATTTAATCATTTGATTTAAGAAAACAAATCTGAACATGAAGTTAGCCATATGTCTCATATGCTATTGGTTACAGATACTGGCACCATCCTAGCTGTCTCAGAGGGTTGAGATCTTTGCCCTTGGGATATTCATGTAAATCTGTTTCTTTAGAAATTAGTAGTCTTTTGGATAAAAACCGTGATGAGAGCCATGAATGTACAAACTGCAGATTGGAAGTGGATCAAATTTCTTATAATAATAGTTTTGTTATAAAATTAAACTCACTGCATAGAGTCAAAATACAGTAGTAAAAAAAAAAGGCAATCAAATGAGAAATGAAAATAAATAGTAAAAGCAGTGGCAATGGTACAGCAAAAGGGTGTCTGACAGAATTTGAAGTTGCATTTCAAAGTAGTTCCATATTCCCATAGTAAAGCATGAAATTCAACTTGTCACATGTCTCTTTTAGAACAATAAACAAACTCTTGGGTTTTTAAAAAAAGCAGAAATAAATATAGGTCAAGGTCAAGATCAAATTTACTAAAGTAAGTTCAAAAGTCATAGCTTTATAATATTCATGTTTCATTACAGAAAACTGATTAATAAGTCATATATAAGCAATTACATTTTGCAGTCTTATGACAAACAAATAATAAGGGGAAAATCAGTTATATGTGTGGCGTAATTAGTGCAGTATTTTATGTATCAGCCAGTCAGAAATCAAGTTGCCACTTTTGATTTGGGTATATAAAAAAATCCAATCCTCCTCATTCTCATCTTCAGACTTATATTATGTAGAATTCTTCCAAGAATTATCCATATTCGATACCAATTTTGTGTGACAGTATTTTTGTACAAGTTTCATGTATTTTTAAAAATGGAAGCCAATAAGGAGTAATGAATAATCTTTTTAGTGCTATGTGTGTTATAAATTTTGTTTTCTCTTAGTATAACATCCAAATAAATTAATATCATTTATAACATTAAACAGCATCAAATATATCCAGAGATTTTTGATTATTACCTTTTCCTGTGCTTCTTTCCAGGCTTTTACAGGATCAGATTCATAACCTCTCTGGACCAACATCTGAATCAAATCTCTTTTTGATCTGTTCTCTACAAGACACACATACAACCCAGGGGAAAAAGAAAAAAAATCAGTGTCATGAAAATAAATGACTTGCACACAAGTACATTCTAGTATATTTAAATAATTTCCAGATTTTCCCCCCACCGTTACCGATTCTAACTCATATTTACTCACCTATGGTAATTTTTCCTTGTATCTTCTCTAGAATGAAACGAGCTTGATTGTTAAGCTTCGTAGATTCTGCACCCAACATTCCCACAAGCCATTCCTTGCGTAAGCTGTAATAATGTAATCGCAAATCAAAGAACTCCTTCAAGATGTCTTGCACAGTTTCATACTTCTTTAAACATCCCATATGATCAAACAGCACCTATAAAATAGATAATATACTGCTTCAGAGAGAATGCATAGCTCAAACTTCATTAGCCTTTGTGTACAAGTTTATTTCTATTGTACGTGTACACACACCATACAAAAAGCTGTATTTTGAAGACCGTGAACTCAAACCTTACCACAGAACTACACAGTACATAGCTGGATAGATTTTGGTTTTATTCACAATACATTTAGGATGAGATTTATGGTAACACATTCAAACAGGAAGGCAGCTATAGAGCAACACACCTGAATTCAATTGAATGATTAATTTTATCTAAATATTAAAGTACAAGTTCATAGCACCTAATGATTCACAACTATTTAACATAACAGTTGAAAAGCATCTTGAATAATCTTTCAGTTAAGCTGTGAAATCTGCCACTTTTCAGCTGTGAAAACTGCCATCCTTCAGGTTCAAGCACAAACAAAGTAAGAAATCATTTTTACACCACAGGTGGAATCAATCCTGCCTGACTTCTGACATCTCCGGTTTAGACATTTATAGGTGAACTAGTCACCGCAGGCACCCTCTATAGTCAACTGAAAGAAATAAGCCCCTCTAGAGGGCAATTTATCTATCTAAAATACCCGTTTGGGAGTTGGGTGAACGAGTAGCTCGCATAACTTTAAGATGCTTGCACTAGGGCAGATTAATTCCTACGCATAAACAGAAAGCAGCCCTTACTATTTATTTCAGGAGGCAGAAAATGCAGGATTAAACTGCAAAACATTTTGTAATATGTTAAACATTAATTTGAAGACAGGGTCTCACAGTACTTCCTATGGTTATTTAAACCTGTGAGAAATACCATCACTTTGATTTGGTAGATTCGCTTTTCAAGCACAATCTATAAAATAGGCTGAGTAAGGCCTTTTTCCTCTTCCCATTCTATGGGTTTTAATCTATTTTAAAACTCTTTTCACATAGCTTTTGATTATACAATAATAGCAACAGTAATTGCATTTTTGCTTTGTCATAATATCTGAAAGTACTACCTATAAAAAAAAACACCAAAAAAAACCAAACAAAAAAACAAAACCGAACTGTTTTTTCAGTCTCTGTAGAGACAGGTTGTTTAGAAATGCTCTGGCAGAAATTATCTTATTCAAATCCCTCTCATAATAGACAAGACATGTATACTCATTCATAGTCTTACTCCCATCTTGCTACAAGCAGAATAAACTATATGAGCAATTTACATCACTGTTATGTCTTCACAGAATCACAGAATATCAGAAGTTGGA